TTTTTTTAATTTTAAAAGGGCGGGTTTATTAGAAAAAGGAGGCAAACAGAAACAGGCTGGCAGGAGAGCTGCCTCCGACTTTTTAAAATGCGGGTGCCTCATAGCTTATTCTCGGAGCCCCCCTGTGCGTCAGGGGTGTGTGGAAGGACAGAGGCAGGCACTGGGCGGGGGAGGTAGGTGGACGGTTGTGGGCAACAGCACCCACTTGGACCCGCAGGTTAATGTGACGTTGATACCCACCCACCCTTTACCCACCCAGCAGTTCCTGACATTACACTGTGAACCCGCCAAAGGCAGCCCCCCCCCCAATACTCAGTGGGGCCACACACTTTGGGTGCGCATCCCACCTTTGGCCCTCAAGCCCTTTTAACCTTGTATCCTGTAGGGGGAGCCCCGCAGTTCCCACCTTCTCTGCTCTGCATACAGGTGAGGAAGCAAAACCTCCACAGCTGTTGTGAGTTGACCTCAGGTTTTAACAATTCTTCCCCTGACTTGCTAAGCAAGATGGGGAGGCCCTGTATGATAAATGTGTCGCTCCTAGACTGAGTCGTGCCTTAAAGCAGACTAAACGGTGCCATAGTGGGCACCCACGGCCGGGCTTCCCTCACCTAATCCCCACCTGCTTCTCAGATGTGGCTGTGAAAGCCAGTCCCGCCAGGCATCAACCTGCCCCTCCTGGGCCATCCTACCTTCCACACCACACCTTCTCCCACCGTGTGTCCTCAGCACCCGTGTGGGCCATCTCAAGCGCATGCCATCCAGAATGGGGCAGGTCATCAGTTCCCAACAGGGTCACCCCTGATCATGAAGAACAGAAGCTGAAGGGTAAATGCTTCCCTGACTAACACCATCTGGGGGAGCAGCTGGAGATGATTTCATGAGCACCTCAGACTGTTCAGTAGGACGGCCCTCCAGGCGCCTGATGTGACAGGCACTTCAGGAAAAACCATGTAATGGACTCCTCCCATTTCACTGCTCCATCCCTTGCCACATCCAGGATCACTTCCCAAAGTGACCCATGTGGAGGTCTTTGTCCTGGCCGCTTGAGGGGAACCTCGGTTAAGACAGTGCCTTTGTAAAGGTAAGACTCGCGTCTAAGTGGAAAGCACAGAATATAGCAGAACTAGGAGAACTGAGCTTTATGCTCCAACTTGGTTCTGCTCTTTTGTTCACTTGAACTTTGTACTGATAATCACCGGGTGTGAGAACAAGCACCAGATTCAACGGTAGTTGGAAAGAGAGCCAACCACAGACTTTCTGTTGTGCAGAATTGGGGTGCAGGCCAGAGGTGGGGGTGGATGAGAGGACTCACTAGAGACAGGGTGGGGATCAGAACAGGCCGACTGACTGAAATACACTGCAGAGGGGAGCAGTGGGTGAGACAGGAGAGAGATATGGATCAGCTCCCTGGCAGGGGATTGAACTCAGGCCACAGACTGCTCATTTTGTACCTGAGGAAGCAGGTTCAGAGATAGGTGCTGACCTGCTGCACATTCTTCTTTAGGCCCCAGGTGTGACGAGAATGGCTGTTACCATGACAGATGTTAAAGCTCACTGTTCAGTCATGGCCCAAAGCCACTGGCCTGCAAGTGTGGGAACCCCCAGTGTGTTCTTCCTCACTTCATACCGTGTGTGAAGCCTGTGAAGTTCCTCAGCGATGAGGCATAGCGGTGTGAGTGGCAGGAGAAGCAAACCAGGGGGCAGAGAGTGCTGGAGACTTGACTAATTTATAGCTTGAGGACATGGGGTTGAAAAGCCAAAACTAAAACTGTGGCAGAGAGGGCAAGTCTGTTCCCACAAGTACACACACCAGGTTTGACCTTAGCTTTATCTCCTTGTGATCATCAATTGCTGATAGGGCACGTACAGTTACGTGATGAAGAAACCACTGGGCAACCTGATTTTTACCAAAGCTCATTTTTTAAAAAGATTTATTTATTGATGCATACAGAACTGGGGTACAGGCCAGAGGTGCAGGGGCAGTGAGAGGATTCTCCAGAGATTGAGTGGGGAGCAGAACAGGCTGACTGATGAAGTACACTGCTGAG